ACACACACACACACACACACACACACACATAAGCCAAGCGAGTCCTAATGGGCACAGGACATGTGTTCGTTAGTTGTTTTTTTAAACACACCAGTCGCTTTTTTTCACCATTACAACTTTTGCTGTTTAAAAAGCTGATCGTAGCATAAATGTATAGTATAAGACAAAGTTGGAGAATAATTACATCTACCAATCTGCGCTATCGCCTGATGTACAAATGAAAACCACAATACGACAACAAAAAGAATTCAGAACAAACAACTAGAGGAAGGAGAGAGAGAGAGAGAGAGAGAGAGAGAGAGAGAGAGAGAGAGAGAGAGAGAGAGAGAGAGAGAGAGAGAGAGAGAGAGAGAGAGAGATAGAGAGAGAGAGAGAGAGAGAGAGAGAGGGAGAGAGAGAGAGAGAGAGAGAGACAGACAGACAGACAGAGAGACAGAGAGGGAGAGAGAATATAGGGATGAGGAGAGAGATTGTTTGAAAAGCAGAGAGAAAGGATGGATTGTAAATGATGTTTTAAATACTGCTTGGCAGAGTTTAGAGTAATTAGGAGGCGGGTTGCTTCGGCCTTGCTTCTCAGTGGGACACAACATTCCAGTAGCCACACACACACACACACACACACACACACACACACACACACTCCTTTCCCAACTCGGGAATCGACTATAGTGAAGAGAAATCCACATGTGCCAGTCAGAAAACTACATAGGCAGTAGGCAGAAACCAACAAAGTAAACCGACAAACAATTTCTACAATACACGTACTTTGTACTTTAAAATAGTTGGGATTTTTTCGTGTAAATCCAAGAAGACAGGTCTCCTCACAGCCAAATGTTCATTGAGAAGATTATATGCCAGTCCAAAAGGATAAGCCTCAAAACTGTATTATTCGTCAAGAGGAAAGGAGCCACATTGCTTTTTCAAAAAACACTTCGTCTAGAGTTGCGTCTTGGATGAAAAGAGCTACCCACTGCTTTGACCACACTGAAGAGATACAGCCAAGTTAAAAAAGTGCCCGCACGCAGATCAGATGCAACTCGGGATGATTTCGTTTTCTTGTTTTTGTAAGTGTTTTACGGCGCTCGCTACTGCATAAGGTCATATGAGCGCGCGGGACACATTAAACTTTTTCAGTTGGTAGGAAATTTTGAATTTTGGCCGGGTGGCGGCCGAAGCCTACTCTTATCGATTTTAGACCACCAAGGGATCTTTAACGTGCGCAACTTGCACACGGGCC